ACCTGTGCAGGTGTAGGGGTTGCAGGACAGTCTGCATTAGGACAGGTGACACTCACGGACGTTCCTCAGTTATCTGGAGCTTACAGAACTCGCTGAGACAGCCCCGGCAGAAGATGTGGTCACACTCGAGCAGCTGAACACACTCTGAACCGAGCCAGCCAACGAAACAGATATCACAGTCAAAGACGGTGGTGGAAAACTCTTTCTGTTTCTGGGTGGCGTTGTAGATCAAGAGCTGGGACAGGAGGGCTTGTGATGGAGTCAGGGAGAGACCAGAGGGGGTTTGTCCAGTTTGATCCAGTGGGTGTGGAGAGCTAGAAGAGGGAAATGATGAGGCTGAAGAATCGCCTCCAGTGAAGATGTCTTCCTGGTTACTTTGATCAGACTGAGCAAATGGAAGATGCTCTGAGACCGCCTTAAATTCTGAGTTTTCAGATGTCTGGTCAGCCTCCCTGTCATCAGAGGAATCTTTATCAGAATCAGTTAAAGTGTTTTGGATCAGAGGCTCCTCATTAGAGTCTGAGTTTAGATCAGTCTGGCTGACTTTGCTGAGGTGTGATGTTGAGTTATTTTGTCCTGATTCCTCAGCTACCTGACAATCTTTGCTGCTCTTGTCTAATGTTGAAGGATTTAGACTTTCAGCAAAGTTCCCTGTTGGACACTCAGCTCTGGAGGATGTTGCAGAGAGGTCCTGTGCGATGCTTTGCTCGTGTGATGGAAGCTCCAGCAGAGAGTGGACGTCCAGGAACTTGAGTGCATCCTCTTTAAGAAACTGTATCCAGGTGAAGAGCACCACAGCGCCCCCAGTGGCCTGATAGAGATCGATGAGCTGAGCAGTTAATGAAGGGATCTGTGGAACGAGAGAGAAAAAAGACTGATGTAACATTCATTGATCCTCAGAAATCTGCAGTCATATCTCTGAGGCTCTTACACACAACATTAGTGAATGTGTCTAAAAGTGTTTTAACTGACCCACAGTACTTTACCTGTGTGTGTGTCAGCCAGCTGCAGGTGAGGGTGAAAGAGGGAGGGGAGGACGATGGGTAGTCCTCAGGGAGCTCAAAGGTCAGGCACAGAGGAGGAAGGTATGATATCTCATACTGTCTCAGTGTTTCACCTGAGGAAAATGAAAAACAAAAATACACGTGTATAAGCTTATTAAAGACAAGTTCCTACTTTTAAGTGTGTACACTGAAGTTATCGATGTAGCACCTGAACTTTATCCTCACGAAGAATATTTAAAAGATATAGAAAACCTAGTGATTTTACGTTAAACAACTTGTGATAATCTAATGGGCTAATTTATAATTCATTGCCCCCCTTTTTTTTTTAAATTACCCTTTAGCCCTTTATCATGTCAAAGGTATGTTTAAGTTGTTAAAAGTTAGGGAGTTAATGGAATAATAACAGGTATGTCAATTAAATTATATTAAATTAAGAGAGTAGTGAAGGAACCCCCCCCCATTCTATTTACGGTTTTATTTTAATTTTATTATTTATTTATTTATTTTTCTTATTATTAGTAGTATTATTTTTTATTTCTGAATTTTAATTTAATTATCTTTTTTCTCTTCGTGGATTTATTTTAATTTTAATTTTATTTCATGTATGTATTCTTGTATGTTTAAAAAGTTATGTATAAAAATGTGCCAGGATGAACAAAATTTGTGATGAAATATGACAACTTGTAATGTAGTAAAACAGCCTGCAATAAAGTCATAAAAAGTTGTTCAAAGTTGCACATTTCCCTTCATTACAGCTAGCATATGATCTAATAGGCCTAATGACAATCAAGACAAGGGAGAGATTAAATCAATTAGGTTATTATTCCACCCAAAACAATCGCAAATTTGATGATGTAATTTTCTTTTTTTTCTTTCCTCTTCCAAAAATAATTAAATAGCCTATAAAACACATTTTTCACACAGTAGTCTTACTTGAAACCAAAATGTATTTTAAGTTTATAATAAAGGCCTACAGCAGACTATAACTGGTTGAGTAGGCCTACTTCTTCCACAAGTAGTCCTCTTCTACCTCCGAGTATTTACCTGGTATTTATTTGAATTGCCCCCCCGGGGACAAATAAAGTTTTTTGAATTGAATTGAATTACCTTCTTTTAAAACCACAGTAAAGTCCGAAGGCAGCTCGACTGACACTCGGATTTCTCCGGAAAACTTCGACTCATCCCGGAAGAATTCATCGGAATCAAAGATACTGTGGAGAGCGAGCAGTTCGTCCTCCTGTTCCTCTCTGTCCGCAGTCATACCGTCCAGTCCCGACAGAAACTCACTTCACCTCCTCCTCGTACTGATCGTTAAAATGCTTCCTCGGAGATTAAAGTTGAATTTGTTATTTTATTCCTTCCAGAGTTTAGGTTTGTTGACACTTCCGTAACTTGTCACATGAGAGTCTGGTCGGTTGTGTTTGTTTTTCTGCTCCTGGAGTGACTCAAGAGTGGCTGCCCGTCCCTCTGCTGACTCATCTGTTTGTGATGCAATGTTCAGGACTCAGCTGTAACACCAGCCTTTAGAGATAATACAGCTACACACACTGTCATGTGCTTTTCATGGTTATCATGTAAAACTAACCTTTTTCTTTTTTGTTGTTGTAAAAACAACCAATAAAGTGTCAAGATATTACCAGAATCAGAATCAGATTTATTGTCCAGGTATGCTTACACACAGTAGCGGAGCGAGTGTGGGGGCAGAAGGTGCGGCCGCCCCGGGCCCACTGTTGTCTCAAGGGGCCCACTGTTGTCTCAAGGGGCCCACTGTTGTCTTAAGGGGCCCACTTTGAGCCAAATTTAACATGCATTTTTGTTATTTAGTTGAATTTTCAAATAAAGTTAGTTTGACTAGGTCTGAGTCTCTCTTTTCTTTTGCTGCAATCAAGACACACAATGTATTTTGTAGAGCAGAGAGGGGCCCGCCTCCACTGCCAAGGGGGTTCTCAACTTCGGCAGCAAACAGCACCAGCGGGGTGCTGTGGCCTGTTTGTAATGTCATTGATTCCACCTCTTGGCACCCCCTTTGCTGGGCCCCCGCTGCTGTCTGGAGTTTTAAAAAGCTAGTCGTCTGTCTGCTTCATTTCTGTTTACCTCGCTGTTTTTCTTAACATTAAAAGTGTAAAAAACTAAATAAAAATGTTTTTATTATAAAAATAGAAGAAGAGTAGCAGTACAGCCGTATACTCTTCCTGTGAGGTAACTTAAAAAATAACAACACATCGTACAACATATTGTAAAATATGTACAAAAAGATGAATAGAAGAGCTTTAACCCCACAAAGCCACTTGATGGTTCAGTCCAAACATCTGAGAGCAAGTTATTAGTAAAATCATTTCTTAAGACATGTTTAACACAAATATATTACAGACAGATTAAAACCAGCCACTCAGCTGCTTTAACAACTGATTGCTTAATTGTTTAGTACAGTGGTTCTCAACTGGTGGGTCGGGACCCAGTAGTGGGTCGTGCAGCCCTTTTCAATGGGTCGCGAATGTGTGCCTGGAAAAAAACTTGTATCAAAAAGTCTGTGAAGCGCTTTTTGAACATGTTTGTTTTGTTCAGTTTCTCGCTTCAGACTTGTGTTTTTTTTTTTAACGACTGAGATCCAAACTGCACAATTTATCAGTAAATAAATCTGATTGGTCGAAAACTATCCGAAATTTGGGTCTTTAATGTTTTTATGAAAAGAGGAATTAACCAACTATTTAAAAAAAAAAACACATTTAAGATAGCTTGGTCATTAATATGAACAACCCAACAAAGACCTGTAACCAATGCTGGGGAGGAAGCTTGGTTTTGTGCAACAAAGAAAAAGAGAGACTGAGCAGTTTTCTACAGGAGCAGACATGCATCCATTCATGTAATTTAATCCTTTCCCCAATAAATGTAAGGCTTTTATTCTGTTAAAGTCTCACTTCAAAGTCAAACAGATTTCAAAATAGAATAATTCGTGAAATTTTGTAAAAAAAATAAAAATCTGTTTGTGGCTGTTGAAAAAGTAGCAGAAGGACAATATTTAGTCGTATGGGTCCATGACTTCAAACAGTGGTGACTGGCATTGATGTGTATGTAGTGCACCAGCTGTCTGCAGTCTGGTGAGGCAGGCCCAGCAGAACCTCTGTCTGCACTTTGTGCAAATCATCATGTTACAACCACCGTTTTTCTGCAACACAAACACAACAACATACGTTTAAGCAAAGGCAGCTGTCTTAAAAAGTCTTTAGTTTACATTTAAATAAAGATGTATACATACCTCTATCCTGCAGAAGCAGTGTGGACAGTGTTTGCTGTTGACAGTGAGCCAGTCCTCACTCAGACGCTCCTCCAAAGTGTAGAGCAAACCACTGCGGCCGTACCTGCTCTCCAGGAGCCGCTTCCTCCGCTTACTGCCAGTGGCATAGTCTTCCCTTAAAGCCTGGATCCCTTCTGAGACACAGACAAGCACACACACACACACACACACACACACACACACACACACACACACACACGGTTACCCAAATATCAGAGCCTAAGAAACACACGTGTTTACACAATCTGAACATTCAAACCAGGAATTGTCTGTCATTAAAGGTAAATGAAAGGTTGTCACAATGGGCCTGTTATACAGTTCTATCAGGGTGTTCACAAGGAAAGAAAGTCGTTGAGATTAAAAATCGCCTTTTCAAGAGTCTCTTGAAAGGCCAGGACATACTTGAAAAAGTTGTTTCTTTCCTGGTTAAATCAAGGTTAAATAATTTGAATTGCCCCCCGGGGACAAATAAAGTTTTTTGAATTGAATTGAATTGAAATAAAACATTTCAGGTGTGTGACTTAAAAAAAATAGGATGAAAATATAGATCAATAGTTTGCTATAACTCTTCATTTATGACAGCTGAATGAGACCTGCTCATCATGAGCTACTATTCTGCTGATTGGCTTATTAACTGATCGATTTTTTAGATGTTTATTTGTAAGGGACTGAAAGAAGACTCAATTCTGATAGAAATAAGGTTATGTCGGGGGTTACTGACTCATCCTGTCACATTTTTTAGTGAATATTCATTCTCTGATTCAGACTTTATTCAGCCATAACCATGTTGTTATGTCTTTTCTATAATTTACAACGAAACAAATTACCTGATTGACAGGTAAGTTTAAAGGATTTATGATTGAAAGGCAAAATACAAACAGGTGTTCTACAGTCACACACAGGTATGCTTCTGTACCTTGTGACTGTGGCAGGCGTGATTTAAGCTGCTGTGGTTCTTTAATCTGTTTCTGTGTGTTCTTCTTGGGCCCGCAGTAGTCTGTTCCATGATAGGTCTTTCTGCAGGCGACACAGAAGGCAAAGCTGCAAACTGAGCACATCGCCGCCCTGCTGGACTTCTCCAGAATGACGGCTGCAGCGCAGGTACGCCGAGGACAGTACACCACATCTAAGAGGAGGACGGAGATGAGGGAACACTTTTTTGAAATGAAATGTTCTTCTGATCAGTTTCCTTAATGTCTTTATTAGTATTGTTTTCACAGTTAGCTTCAGGATAACTGATAAAACAATTAAACAAAATAAACCCATTTTGAAACAGCCCATATACCCCAGACATTTTATGAGTATTGTTATGTTTACATTGTATAACTGTCTGTATGTTGCTGTGTTGTTTTGAATTATATTTACGTACAAGCTGCTCATAAAACAGCTTCCACTAGAGGGATTCATTTCAGTAACAGCCTTCCATACATGCTCAGTTTAATGAAACATGAGGGGAACAAACCAGACATGGAGTCCAGAGTCTTCTGTAGCAGGAGACGATCATAACGGCTGAACAGCTCGTCCCCGACCAAACTCTTCACCTACCAACATGTGAAAGTATTAAAAACATATCAAAAGAGAGTTTTAATGAATTTAACTTCATTTCAAGTGGTTTATTTTGGCTACAAATATAAGTGTGTGTTTTGTTGTTATAGCAGGAGATATTCATTTAGAGCAGAGATATTGGTATCTGTGTAACTGCAGCGGGATGAGTGACAGAAAACTGTGTTTCTGAAAAGACATAAATAGAGATACAATCACCATTTCCCCAGCAGAGTTCACTGATCAAGTCTTTTTTTATAAAAGCAAAACTTCAGGGACGTTCTGGTGTACTTCTTCCATTACATTTTAGAGGATAATATTCAAGTATTTATTTTAATTCAAACAGCTAAGTGACTTTACATAGTAAAATAATATGTGCAAATATAACTTGGAAAATAAGATTAATTGTTATGGTTGAATATCACAACACTAAGAATGCTTAAACCACCTTCAGCTCAAGTAAATGCAACTTGTGCAGGTGTAGGTGTGTGGGTACCTGTGCAGGTGTCGGGGTTGCAGGACAGTCTGCATTAGGACAGGTGACACCCTCGACGTTCCCCTCAGTTATCTGGAGCTTACAGAACTCGCTGAGACAGCCCCGGCAGAAGATGTGGTCACACTCGAGCAGCTGAACACACTCTGAACCGAGCCAGCCAACGAAACAGATATCACAGTCAAAGACGGTGGTGGAAAACTCTTTCTGTTTCTGGGTGGCGTTGTAGATCAAGAGCTGGGACAGGAGGGCTTGTGATGGAGTCAGGGAGAGACCAGAGGGGGTTTGTCCAGTTTGATCCAGTGGGTGTGGAGAGCTAGAAGAGGGAAATGATGAGGCTGAAGAATCGCCTTCAGTGAAGATGTCTTCCTGGTCACTTTGATCAGACTGAGCAAATGGAAGATGCTCTGAGACCGACTTAAATTCTGAGTTTTCAGATGTCTGGTCAGCCTCCCTGTCATCAGAGGAATCTTTATCAGAATCAGTTAAAGTGTTTTGGATCAGAGGCTCCTCATTAGAGTCTGAGTTTAGATCAGTCTGGCTGACTTTGCTGAGGTGTGATGTTGAGTTATTTTGTCCTGATTCCTCAGCTACCTGACAATCTTTGCTGCTCTTGTCTAATGTTGAAGGATTTAGACTTTCAGCAAAGTTCCCTGTTGGACGCTCAGCTCTGGAGGATGTTGCAGAGAGGTCCTGTGCGATGCTTTGCTCGTGTGATGGAAGCTCCAGCAGAGAGTGGACGTCCAGGAACTTGAGTGCATCCTCTTTAAGAAACTGTATCCAGGTGAAGAGCACCACAGCGCCCCCAGTGGCCTTATAGAGATCATTGAGCTGATCAGTCAATGCACAAAGCTGTGGAAGAAGAAACAATATAATATTAAATGAACCTCAGAAACTGGCTCTGTCTTTGTACACCATGTTAGTACATTTAACAGATAGTGACTTGGCATTACCTGTGTGTGTGTCAGCCAGCTGCAGGTGAGGGTGAAAGAGGGAGGGGAGGAGGACGGGTAGTCCTCAGGGAGCTCAAAGGTCAGATAGAGGAGGAAGGTATGATATCTCATACTGTCTCAGTGTTTCACCTGAGGAGTAAACAAACCAGATAATGTTACACATTTAAAGGGAATTATACGAAGACAATCTGATTTGGACAACCAGATGTGGACAATGAACTCTTCATTATACACAGAGTGAAATATTAAAGCCCTATTTTTAATCAATTACACGTGTTTGACAGTCATAGTTAGTCAAGTAGTTATTTTGCATGATCTAATCTTTGAGTTCTCAAAAATCCATCCAGGCCCTAATACACCTTTTCCTTGAAATGAAGATAAAGATAAAGATAACGATAAACTTTATTGATCCCCCATGGGGGAATTTTTTTGTTACAACAGCTCAAGAAAACAGGAAGCAGGAATATAATTATTAAAAATAACAAGAAGTTAAAAATCAAACATATGTACATCAGTTACATAAAGGGAGAAAAAATACAATAATAGAATAATACCAAGAGAGAGATCTGATCTCACAATAATTGTATTTGTGCTAGAAGTAAAGGAGTCATTATTTCACGTAAAAACAGCACATTCTGAAAGATGTTTTTTTCTTTCTTCTTCTTCTTCTCTGTTTTAAGAATAAAGTACACTCACAGTCATTAAATAAGTTAAAACTACATCTGGCTAAACAATGAAATGTTGCTTTAGACTTCTGCTCACAACTTACAAACTCATTTTCAATTAAATAATGAACGAGTCAGAGGGGAGTCCAACTCTTACTTTTGATAGGTCTACTTAAATTAGGCTACAGCTAAAGTTAATAGGCCATACTAATTGTTGTAAGCCTTAAACTTGTGTAATGGATGGGACCTATATGACTATGAGTACCTTACATCTTCCACCACCAAACCAAACTACCGGTGTAGTAACATGTTTTCCCCGAGTGGGTTTATATACCTTCTTTAAGAACCACTGTGAAGCCTGCTGTCAGCTCGACACACACTCGGATTTCTCCGGCAAACTTCGTCTCATCCCGGAAGAATTCATCCGAGTCAAAGATACTGTGGAGAGCGAGCAGTTCATCCTCCTGCTCCTCTCTGTCCGCAGTCATAGCGTCCAGTCCCGACAGAAACTCACTTCTCCTCCTCTTATTGTTGGTAAAACAATTTAAGCTTCTTTTTTTTTATTACCTGCAAGAGTTGAATTTCTTTGAGGCTTCAACTGTACAGTAGGTTGAGTCAAGCCTGTTCGCATGCCTGCTCCTGGTGTGGCTGCCCTTCCCTCTGTTGACTCATCTGTTATTATTCAATAGCTAAAGGTAAACAAAAGTCATGTGCCTTCTGCTTCACAACCTATTAGCCAACTACAATTCCCCCAGAAATTAATCACATAGATTGTTTTAAATATAAGTTTGAGACAGAAAGAGCAAAAATATATCCAATATTGATGAACTTTCAACATTATAACCTCCCTTCATGATGCAGAACTGTTTGAACTTGTATTTAATGATCAGGAGCACAAGTAGCCTAATCCAAAATACACTGGCACTGGTTTTCTTTGAAAGCGTTTATGTTTCCTCAGGGCGGTGCATCAAGTCAGGTAATTATAGTTTAGACATGACAGTAAAGTTCAACTTTTGCTTATTAGAAAGTGCGAGTGTTTAGAAAGTGTTATGTCATCCTGCTTAATAAGAGATATGTCTTGTGACGAGGTAACACTGTTTGGTATTAAAATAGAAACTCAAAGCCACAAAAATAAGCTGTGCAGAAAACTTTGAGTTACGCTCTGAATCAGTTGACTCACATGAACATAATCTTAACAACTAGCCTTATTGTGTGTGTACTGCTATTTAAACAATCATGCTGTCATCTCTGTCATGATTTGGTCTTATGTAGTTTGTATTTTCAGTTCAGTTGTATGTCGTTTGTCGGTGTTGTATGTTGTTTCCCGTGTCCTATGCCAGACCTCTGCTTACCTGTGTTTCAAGTATTTTTCCTGTGTTTTTTGACTTCTAGTTTTTGGCTTTTGAAGTAAGTTTTTGTTTTTGCCTTTGGCCTTTTTGTTTATTAATATATTTAGTTAATTCTGCACGTGGGTCCAGTTCCTTGTTTTTCCCCTGAACGTAACAATCTCCAGCTGAACTCCAGCTTATAAATGCATTAATGACATTTAGATCAGAAGTTTTATAAGGTAAACTCAAGGTTTACTACAAGCTTTTCTTGGGCTTTCAACTACATCTTTGTCAAAGTCGTCATCATCAACTTGAAACATGACAACTGAGTATTTGGGGAAATAAAGTGAGTTGTTTCTGGCTTTTTTTTCTGTCTGACTGCTGTTCCCAGATTCAACAAAGACATTTCTAAAAGAGACCTTTAAGATGTGGTAAAAAAAAAAAAAAAAAGTTAGATTGCTAAGGTATAATAAAAGTCAGGTGCAAATATCATGTGTTTGCTCTCCACACATTCAGTTTGGATTTAGATTTCTGTTGTTGCAAAATTTCTGTCAACAGCACATTTCAGAATATACATGACATTAGTATAACAATAGTATATTAAAGAGTGCAGACCTACTGACAGAGTAATGAATTGTGGCACATAATACTGTCATCATACAGGTATATAAATATATAACTTTAGTACTGAGCATCACAAAGGATGTGTTAGTATATAAGGTAGATAAAGTTGTACTTAAGCTGTTATGAAAAGTGCAAAGTTATAGTGTCCATCAGTTGTGGCTGTAGTTTTCCTTCAGGTTGCTTTGGACCTCAGCCTTGATTAACAGCTCAGGATGTCTTTGGGATTTCAACTCCACAACCAGCGGCCTGGGGACTGCTTTTGGTTTCAAGACGGCAGTCAAGGGCCTGGGGCCTCCTTGTGATTTAAACACAACACTCCTCTGAATGCCATCAGCAGATGCTGGATTGAGAGAGACAGACAGACAGACAAAGTATTTAAATGCTCTGGATATTGTACTTCAACATTTGTCCAATATTTGACTTAATCTAATAGATATCAGCGATTCAAAACACTATGACCAAGTTGCACGTTTGTATTAAAGGCTTATTTATTTGATATTTCTGCTCTGAGCTTTGGTGCTCCCGGGGTACGGTTTGGTGGCTGGTGTTGTTTTGGTTTCTGGGTTGTTACTGAGCTGCCCTGATTCCCACCTGACTCTCGGTTACACTCCTTCTTGTGTCGTTCGTCCCATGCTTTCACTTTGCAGTTCCTGGAGCAGTAGAAGACCTTGTGGCAGAGGCTGCAGGCGGTCAGCTTCACGGACACAGAGCGGCCGCAGTGATAGCAGAACTTATATTCTGGATTCCTATGAAACACATGTTTAGTTGGAACAGTCACCTGGAAGATTTGCTTTTCAGATTTCCTCATCTCAGATTTTCAGTTCTTCTGAATTACATATTTTTCAACACTTTGATTGTGAGTTTAAAGTTGAAATGACATGGTGTCTTACATGAATGAGAGTGTATGTGTGAATGTACCTGTGTTTTTCCTTTATGGGTGATAGATTTTCACAGTTGCGAGCGGTCCCATTTGTGGAAATAACACTTGCCCCTGTGTGCAGAAACCTGCCTGTTACTTTAATACCGTACACACACACACACACACACACACACACACACACACACACACACACACACACACACACACACACACACACACACACACACACACACACCTGTACAGTCACACACTTTATGAAACCAAACAGGTATAACCTTCAGAAAACACAAACGTTGTACTGACTTTTCAACTTGAGCGTTTGTTCTCGCTCTGAAATCTCACGCTGCCTCTGGCAAGCACTTTGTCTATGCAGATCTCCCATCATGCTCAGCAGCTGGCGCCGTGCTTTGAATGTTTCCCTCTCCCGCATGTTCAAAGCGTGGAATGGAGTGTGGGCAATACGCAAGTCCTAGATTATGAAATGAAACATACAGCCATCTATTAAGATCGAAATGTGCAGCATAGAAATAATATTTTAAAAAGTAGCCAAAAGTTTTGTATGTGTTCATTCCCTATGGCTCCAAAAAGAGCTAAAAAATTCAATCTTAATCATTTTAACAACACACACATTTATTGCAAGGCTTCTCCATTAACCCAATGCAGCTCTTTTTTTACTGGGAAGTGAGTGTTTTCAAAAGTGGTGTGTTACCTGGTTGAAGGAGTAGTGTGCATAGTCCACTGCGTTTCCCACAACTCTGCCCACCTTCACTTGCATCAAGATGTCAGCGCCCCCCTTAAATAATATATCCAACTATATCAAAGACACACACACACACACACACACACACACACACACACACACACATGATTCTTGCTTTTTTTTAACTGACTCAAAGCAAGAGATTTTTTCAATGCATCCTGCATTTTTATTCTTTTATTTTGAACACTAATGTTGATGTATTGAAATATAAAGTCAAGTTTTAGAATGACTTTAAATATGACTTTTGATCCAGGTGTTCCACATTCTCAATGAACAAGTTGCCTCGACAAAACTAAGAGCTCCAAACGTATGCTAATCTTTAAATATAAAATGTAAATATATACATTAGGCCTTTAGAATAAATATTTAACTAGCAACAGTTGCATCTTTTACAAGGCTTTCTGTCTATGTATGTGTGCTTGTGTGTGTACCAGCTTGGCTCTGTTGCCACCTAAGTGGTAGTTAAAGTTGAGGAGCGCACAGAGGGCGCTGCCCACCCTGCGGCCGAGAAGTAGGTTGGGATTTGCTCCACCTTTCAACAGCTCCTCCACTACCTGAGTGGGGGAAAGGAAAAAGGTTAAGGACAAAGTGAGGTTTGGATGTATGTGTGTGTGTGTGCATGTGTGTGTGTGTTACCAGGTAATTTCCAGATACTATAGCCAAAGAGAGAGGTGAGTGTCCACTCCAGAGGAGGTCTGTGCTGGCTCCATGGGCGAGCAGGAGGGCGACTATTCTACTGGCATTCTGCATCAAAAAAAAAGTCATTTAAGTAAACCACTGATTCTGACATCAGTGATGGTGTTTGTATTGCATGTGCATCTACAGTATGTACTGACCCTGTAGTCACTTTCTCTCTGGCAGGCCACATGCAGGGCCGTTCTGCCTCCAGCTTTTAGAAGGTTCTCGTTGGTGCTCAGTGGTTTGTCATCCTTCATTGAGAAAAAAAAAGTCTGTGTGACTGAAACTCTTCTTTTAGAAGTTTCAGCTACCAACACAGCTGTGACTCAAGACTTATAAAATCTTCAAATACAAACACACACAAACCTTATCTGGTCCATAGATCTCATCTTTGTCAGCTGCTTGTGCGTCTGGGTCAGCGACCGCATGGAGGAGCAACTCTGTGATCTTGGGACCTGCTGGACCTGGCAGCGTTACAGCTACATGCAGTGGATAAAGGCCTTTCCTCTATAAAGAAAAGATGAGAATTTAAGAGGGCATTTACAATTAATGGAAATGAAGGATTCAGGGTTTGAAGAATGGTGTAGGGTGGCAGCAATATAAATGCTGTAATATTTTTGTTTTTATTTTTTATTTTTGGTTTGTTTTAAGATGTCATTCAATGCGACGGCTGAAAAATATGTATCTCTTCCACAACAAATATGAAACTTAAACACACAATTATTTCAAAAAGAGGCTTGATGAAGATGATGAGAAAAGTACAGAATAAGAAAAGAAAAGTATTCTGCCTCATCTGGGAGGGGAACGTCTGTGCTAGCTCCACATAGCAGCAGTCTCCTGACGGCCTCAGTGTCAGACGCCATAATGGCTAAAAAGAGGACAGGCATGGGAACCCTGCACGCATTGGGGTCAGCTCCCCGTTCCAATAAGAGCTTCAGGGTGTTCAAACGAACTCGGTTCCTGCTCAGACAGACACATAGCACATCAGATGTAAAAACAAAATCATGTCATTTTGAAAAGATCAAACCGTACAGATAACAGAGTGGGAAACAGAACTGACTGAATTTTCCTTGTCGCGCTTTTGCAGACAATATCCTGTGTCTCAGAGTGCTGAGGGATCCCGATAGGACTCAGTGGCTCTGTTGAGTGCTCCATCAGTTCACCCCTAACCTGGGTGCTGACTGAGCAGGTAGAGTCAGAGGTCAGTTCTTCGTTTTTGTAGAGCTGCACAAAGAGAGTTCAAATGAGTTTTAAAAAGTACCGTCTTATCAAATTTAATAATATGGGAATCTCTGAGCTTTATACCTGAACTCTTCCAGCTGCCTCAACTTGACATTGCTTCCATTGTTTGCTGCTTTGCGTGCCCTCACTTCCTCTCTCTTCTATCTCCTTTACATTGTCTTCATGAATGTTTCTCACTCTCTGCTCCAATGTTCCTCAACGTCCTCAACACCTTCTGTTTCTCTACTCTCACCAACCTCAGAATCTTCCTCGTCCTTATTTCTCTCACAGATTTCTCTTTCAATCCCTCTGAACTCGCTTTTGTAAATTCCTCTTCTCAGATCACATCTGCTCTGATTCCCTCTTTGCTCTTCCTCTTCTTTTCCCTTGCTCTCTTCTTTATTAAGATCTTTAGTGTCTGCAGGGGTCGCAGGCTCATTCAACTCAGGCATGAGCTCGGGGTCGTTGGCTATGTTAAGGCTGTGATGTAGGAACACAAACAAAAAGCTCAAATTGATACATCAGTTTACATCAGCTAGTGAAACAATTACAACTCTATTCTGTGGAGCAAACTGCCTTCAAATACAATATTTTCAAGATAATGTCCAGTGATCTGATTTAGTCTCAATCCAAAACAGAGGAAAAAGTTAGCGAAGAGGTTACGCAGAAAGAAGCTGACGTTCATTTATCAATTAGTCCATTGAAAGAAAACTCTTCACCAATTTTGTTGATAATCAATAAATCATTCAAGTCATTTTCAAACCAAAATGTGAAACATGTCAGGTTCATGCTTCCTTAATGTATGGATTCCTTTTCTTCTATATTAGTAAAGAAAGATATTTTGGGTTTTTGAAAGTTGGAGCAAATGGAAATGTTGGTTGTGACTTTGCAGCTAGTTGACTTAGTGATTCATCATTAAAACATGCTGTAGTATCACCAATGATGAGGTATATAAAAGTTAGTTTCAGCACTAATGATCATTATGTTTAAATGTGATATCAACTTAATTCCTACCGTTCAGAGAGGAGACTCTGGTTTGTTTCATTGTTCAGGGTTGTGCCAGTGGTCTGAGGTCTGTTGTTAATCCCGACTGTATTTGTAGTGAAGTCCACTTGGCTGGTTTTAGGACTGCTCCCACATGAGAAAAAGACCTGACAGACTAAAGACACATGACAATAAATGTAGTTTTATGTTCTATCCATGAGAACTATTGATAAGGGTGATTGAAACAAATAAAAACTACATTGAGTAGAGTCTTACTTGTGTTGCTTTAGGGGATTTAGCAAAGGGGGTATGCAGAGACTGGAAAGGATAGTAGAGGACATGGCACACAGCCAGGGCCGACATGCCTTCACAATTCATCTTGTCAATATCAGCACCCATATCCAGCAACAGGTGGATCACATTATTATGGCAGTTAACCTGACAAGCACAAGAAAGAAAAAGGAGAAAATCGTAAAGCTAATCAAAAAATAGTTTTCTGATTTCTTCAGTTGATCGCTGTTTTAATTACATTTATCAACAGGTTTAAATTGTATAAGAGTCACACAAAAAAAACACAAGTATAACTGTATCGATAAACTACTGTAAAAAAACAAAACAATGTAAAGGCATCTCACTGTGGCAGCGATCAGTGCGGTGTGCCCCTGTGAGTCTGCTACATCAGGATGCACCAATCCCGTCTGGAGGATCTGCAGCACAGCTTGTAGATCCCCTCTGGAGGCCTGCTGGATCAACGACTTTGAGCTCGCTTCCAGATGCCCTTTAGGACCAAAACTTTCTCTGTTCAAAGAGAGAACAGCTGCCACATCCCAGTCCACATTTTTGGCCTGCAGTCTAAGAGAGAGACACACACACACACACACACACACACAATTACATTCTTTTTTGAAGACATATTATATCAGCTTCCTTGCAGTCTTTGTGTCTTTTTCCTTTTGGTCAATACTGGAGTGAATAACAATGTGTTTTGGTGAAACTACTCCCTTAAAACGTTTTGAAATGGATGTCTGACCTGTGTTTGTGTATGTGAACCTGCATGCGAGTCTGTAAGGGCAGAGTGGAGAGTGGGTCTCGCTTATAGCCTTGGTGTGGGTAGGCCTCGGGTTCCCACAGTTCGCCGTAAAAGTGTTGATCCAACTCTCTTCTTCTGCCAGGGGGCAACGGCAAGTGGTCGCCATCTGTTGAGTAAATCTCAATTTCTGGGGGAAGGATAAAAATCTCCTCTGGCAGACGATCTTTTTCATTTTCGACCTGGGGAGGATGGAGTATTCATGATCGGACGGTTTCTAGTTATGTCACAAGTTGTTTCAGTTGTTGATTATGGTATAATTTAACTTACCTTACAGTCTGTCTTTGCTTCTGTTTGTGGATAACTAGGAGGCTGGAAATGAGAAGAGAGGTCAGTTATAAATAAGATTTGGATTTTTTTTTTTTTTTTTTTTTTACAGATGTTTTATTGAAAAGTGTTAAAAAATGAGTTTAAAAACAAACAGTATTTAGTTGAGAGAAAAGTATTTAGAAGTACGGTATACAACAAAGATTCAGCATCTCATTGAGATTGTTTGGGGCAAAGGAAAAGCCTTGCATACTTGTGATTAAGACAGTTCTCAGCATTTACCTGAGTGAGGGAATCTGTGTCGAAGTCTTGGTCCAGGAAGGTGGCATATCCAGAAAGAACCTTCAGGCTAAAACCATCTTCGACTGGATTACACAACTTAAAAAGTCGCTCCCCGATCCACAGACCCACATCCTCACAACCGTCTGGATCACTAAGCACACCTGGACCAAACTTTAGATCTGCATGGTACAAACCCTGAGAGGAGGGGGAGAGATGTTATTTACTGTTAAGATTAAGATTGACTTTTTATTGATCCAAACAAGGGGAAATTTAAGTTTTTACACTCTGTAAGTCATGCAACACACACACAGGCTGAAATATACACACATGCACAAACAGGATCCTATGGACATGCACTAATGGAGAGAAGTCAGAGTGATGGATTTTGGTGCCTTGCTCAAGGACACCTCTGCAGAGCTCAGGAGGTGATCTGGTGCCTCTCCAGCTACCAGACCAACTTCCATATTTGGTCTGCACCCGGAACCGTCTGGTTCCCAACCCAAGTCCATACAGACTGAGCTACTGCCGCCCGTTGTTATGAATAATAACAGCAAGTAATCCATCTAAATGCCTGTGAAACATCGTTCTTTACCTGAAAGGTGGCTCCATCAGGAAACATTTGTCGTCCGTATCCTTCTTTCCTGTTCAGGTAAAACTTGCCAGTGAACTTGTGCCCTGTGGGCCAGCGGTACAGTCCATCGCCATGCTTGTAGTCTTTGTAGAAAAAGCCCTCGTAGAACTACACAAAGCAGCAGACAACAGACAAGTCAGGGATATCAAATAGTGACTGGTAAAAGTTTGTTTTCGTGGATGTTACTGCCATTCACACAAAACTGTAATAACAGCTTCACTATCTTTGTTTATTTTAGCAACAATTAAGCTTACCCCACAAAATTAAAAAGACTATTACAACATATTTGACTTCTGTTCTTCTTCCTTACCTCTCCATTTACCCAGGTGTACCTCCCTTTGCCGTGTTTCAATCCATTCACAAATTCTCCCTCATATCTGGATCCGTCGAGCCACTCCTGAACCCCGGGTCCCTGTAGTCTCTCCTCCCGGCTTTGGTCGCCCCTGTGCCCGCTGCTTTGTCTCGCTGACCCCGCCGGCTCCTGACCTTCTGCGACCGATACACCTTCACAGGTCGACAGCATTTCAAGCCTCTTTAAATAACTCACATGAATCAACTTCAGAAGTACAAAAAGCAATAGAGTCACTGCTACACAAACAGATAGCTAAGTAACTCAAAGGATAAAACTTTAGCTGTCTTAAGTCAGATTTTAAGTTCTCACTTTTTCCTGCGAGTGCCAGTTGTCATGACAACGGCTGAATCGTGTACGGGTGGAGTTGACTTTACGCATGCGCAATCATGAAGTGTATAAAGTTCTAATCAAATGTTAATCTACTGAATAAAAATGAAAAAAATAAGTGAATTGTAGAAAAATAATAAGCGTTGTATTTTCTTTAAATTCGGTCAATTAAATAAGCAAAAACTTCAATACATCAATACATAAAAACGTTATTTAAATAAATGGGGTACGGGCACGGGTGGAGTTGATTTTACGCATGCGCAATGTATAACTGAAGCGTAAAAAAACTTCTTATCATCAAATGTTAATCTAGTAAATTATATGTTTATACCTCGATTAAATAAGAGTTGTATTTGTCATATTCAGCAAATTAAAGCAGCATAAAATTGACACTCAAAACATAAAAACAAGGTTATTTCAATAAATTGAACGTCTTCACTTTAAGATTAAACATTAAGCTTTATTAGGCTAAATATTGTTGATGGATATATTAATAATTTAAGTGTTTAGGGATTTTGAGGCAGCCTTATTAAAGATTTTAAATTACATATACCGGGTATGTCGCATACTTAAAGGGTTTAATTATTCAGATCTACTTAATTCAGCTTTAAACAGAATTAAACGTAATAAAAAGAATTCTAGTTTTTATTCCCTTAAACTCAGAAATTGTTTGATTGATGCCATGCTGACTTTTAAGAAATTCAAAGTGATGCATTCACAAAATAAACAAAAAAGTTTCACAACAGTATCAAAATGAGGGCAAAAAACAACAACAATGTGTGTACACTTATTACCAAGCACCACCTAGACTAAAGGCAGAGTGGGATCATTATTATCGCCTATACATTAGTTCATGAAAGTAGGTCATTGTCTGAGAGCCTGGTTATCCTTGTTCATTCAAGAGTTTCTCTATAAGGGGTCATTGGAGCAGGATCAGCCTGAGTGTGTCTTCATGTAACTTGATGCTTTTTTTCCTGTAACTGACACTGCAAAACCTGCTTTCATCCTACAGTATGTTCCTGTATGTAGCCATAGGAGGTGTCACAAATATCATTACATTTTCTGTGAACAAATTCTTTGATAAATCTGTTTTCTAATAGACCCTACTTTCTTACTGTATACTTTAAGTAATCAATTTAATATGAATGACAAGTCTGCAATTATTCTCAGGCTGAAACCTCATAAATCATGTTCCTTTATCTACAACTCATTACTGCATAAACTATGTGAACTATAATTAAAACCCAGACAGGAAATGAACCAATTCATCCGTTTATTAGTCAGTTGTTCAATGCAAGAAAAAAGGTACATACGCTTTGTTAAAAACACACTTCAAAATGATATTAAGTGTTTATAAACAGTGACCAGAAAGGTCTGAATAACACAGCAGGGCATCAGTGCTTACATACAGTATATATACATTAAGTTTTCTTGACACTCCTCCATCTCTCTGTCTCAGATTAGCAGAGGTCTTTTAACATGTAACACAACAAATTATTACTTTTATGGACAAAGGCAAACACAAACATGCAGATTAGAAAATGTGTACTTGTATTGCTCATATTGGCAGAAGGTAAATTCCCTTCTACTTAATTCAAAGCCTTCCTTATTTCTTCAAGAAGAAGCATTCTGAAATGACCCAATTAAAAGAAAAGATGCCCTCACACCTGCTGGAAATGTGCACCAGATTTGAAAAGAGCATTACAGATAAAGAATAAGCATATGATAGATTCCCTTCAGTCTCCCTCTTAGGAAGTCGAGATGAGTGCAGTGTGCGGAGGAATACGAAACGTAGAGGGACAAGTTTGTGTCAGGGAGCCAAAACGACTCAGGCGGTGCTCCTTTCGTCGATCGTAAAAGTCTCCATGGGGCCTTTGCTCAGAGCCTTGATGTCCTCCAGGAGACTGCTTGGGGTCAAAATGTGAGAAGACCCTGCAAGCAAAGAATGAAATAACATTTGATCAAATATTAGAAAATAAAAGCCTTTCAAAATTCTGTTTATTTCTGTGATATACAAGTTGATTTTATAGCCTCAACCAATTATACAGCAGCGTTTTCTTTCTGTGTATTTAGCAACACATAGTAATAACAGTTTACAGAGACAGGATTGGTTAGAAAGCTAACAAAGTCATTTATGTTTCCTATTGGCTGTTCTCAACCAACTTTTGACTCTCCAGAACTATTTGTGTATCTGAAAAAGATCTAAATAAATCACTATTATCCGCTTTAGTTTTACAAACCCTTCAGGAAGAATGGATTGAAGCCTGCATGCTGAAAAAAAACAGCCATTCAAGTCAAGAGGAAAAAAAGGTGATTTAATCCTTAACAATTCTTTGGTGCTAACCTATGATGACCTCGCAGGATTTCACAGCCTGCGTGACCTCGTAGGCAGAGCGCATCTCAGAGAAACACATTCCCCCCAGAACGAAGATGATGAGTCGCGAGCCCGTCCGCCGATCATCCTGAGAAGCTTTGTGCTTCTGACGGGCGCTGTGAATCAGAGGATTAACAACAGACATTAAATGAGACACATTGTGGAGGTGGGAGCAGTAGGCCCAAAGGGTGAAATAAACAAAAAAAAACATCCTGGTGACTGACAGACACTCCAAAAACAGACCCAGATCCTTGTCGTGGTAAACGGCCACATATGGGATTGGAAGTAGTGCCATAGTGTATCACCAGAGGGCGCTACATAATCACTCTTTTACTGTCTGCCTGTCTGTAAAACAACAAGTCACTCAGATGGTTTCATGTTCTTCAGCTGAAAAAGTCAACCACATATCACTGCTGAGTATTTGTCAGTATGAAGAAATGTTCAAACTGTAAGTGGGGTTTTAACTTGTACAATAAATATATGTCACTCCTGGAGCCATGGCAACAGTGTTCTTAGTTTTGACATTGAGTTAGATATTAACATCAACTCTACAGAAGAGCTAGATGAGTCTGTTTTAAACTGAACTCATTATTATTTACAGACACTATCGACCCGGTTCAGGTGGGATTAAAAAAAAACAAAAAAAAAAACATGGACTGTACCTGACCGCCCCCGAGCCGTTCCAGGCAGCAGGACACTCGGACTGATGCGGCCATTCTCTGGTGTCCAGTTTGTTCTCCACAGCATCCTGAAAGCAACACATTACATTAATCTATCAGCTACAGAGACAAGTGTGTAGAAACCAATATCATACATATCAGTATTGTACTTATATGAAGTTTCCTTTTTAATAAACGGGTAAAACCGACAGTTTTGGAGTTCTATAGCTCATTTGTCACTTCACAAGTAAAAGAAATATTCTGCCTGACCAACAAGCCAACATCTGATACCGGGGTTATCGGGGTTAAGGTGGAGATGATACACAGGATGGAACAAAGGTTTTCACTTTTCACTTTTATAGTCTGTGAAACGACTAAATTGGAGAGGGTGACCAAGAAACAGACTCCAAAAGCAGACCTAAATCTTGGACCACGGAGAAAGCACACAATATGCACAGCTGGAGATGGGGAAACAATCTCAGTCTATTTATAAACATTTTAATTATGAGTTTTTCACTGATGGGGCTCAGTGGTTTTGACAGCTTGTGCTTTTCACACATTGTTTTAAATGAGAAGATTGTCTTCAACTGACTTTAAGTACTAGAAGTAATGGTGCATGAAAAACGAGGCTGTTTCCGGCTGAAGGAAGGAAACTGTTCAGTAAGGTTGTTGGGAAACCAGGTGATGTTGTAGTGTGGGTTTCTCAGAAATGACTTCTCAGGTTATAACAGGGAAGGAAAGAAGAAGAAAAAAAAAACGTATTGTTTCAGATCTGTTATTTTACCAACCTATCTTTTATATTAAAATGACAATATAAAAACATCCCATTCAAAAACCTCGAGCCCTACCAACTGCAGTTTTTATTTCTACAAACAGAAATTAAATTTGGAATAAAATATACTTAGATTCAGTCAGGGGGCTTTATCTCTTATCATAACCAAAAGATGTTTGAGTAAGTCTGCCTCTCTATGACTAATCAGCAGAGCTTTACATGATAACAACAGAACTGATTTATTTCCTCTTCGTTATTTGGCTTACTGCTCAGATTACTCAGCTGAATAAAAAAAGGCTTCAAGCAAACTGAACAATGAGACCGAGTGAAAAGATAAATCTGAGTCCTGTTTCTGCTATGGGTCTCTTTTTACAGTTCAAATGTTAACAAGGCAGGACGTGACAGTGACCTCTTTTTTTTTTTTAAAGAATACTGTAATCTCACGTTACAATAATAACCTCTTAAACAGCTTTCCTTTAACCTATCACAATAGGTAACAAAAAACATCTGATGATCAGTGCATGAGCATGATGCAGCAACAGAAAGACCCTCCCCAAGGTTTAACACAAAAGTGGTGCTTTATTGTTCCTTATCGATGATGCCTTTTTTTAAATGTATGAAGCAGTATAGAACAACACAAACATATATGTGACACTGACTTATCAGATGACCTGAATCTGATAACCTCCTTTCATGGTGGTTTCACGGTTCTGTTCATTTTTTTCTCATGGATTCCTTTCAGAGAGGGACTGAGTTAGCACAGTAACCTAGATGTGTACATAACACATGTTCTTCTTTGTCCTACAGACTGTCTGTAACCACTGCACTTCCAAACTGCAGCAACATGCTTTTATCCAGAGTTATTATGCTTTTTAAATGTTGCTATCCACTGCGTCTAAACTTTCTGTTTAGCAAAGCGAAAAAATAAAAAAAGTCATCTGGAAAGAGTTATCAAAAGAGCCGTTTGTAAATGCAGAAACAATATCTGCAACACTGACCTCCATCACATCTTTTATAACCGGAGTCCACCTGGAAAGGTTGTACTTCTCCTCTTGGGAACGATCCCTCCTGGACGGTTTTCGAGAAAATAAACTAGGCTAGAAACAAAAGTAGAAGACACAATAAGCAGGATGCAGTTGAGACTGAAAGACGAGACTTAAAGAGTTAAAAGAGCAAAGCAAGAGTGTAGGGTTGTGAAAATGAGCTGGTAATCTACATTGCCATTCCTCTACTTAGTCCTACTGGCAATGAAATCATCGATCCGTCTTGTTTACACACGTCTTGTGAACATACCGATGTGATGATAGGGACCCCTAGTTCCTTCCAGTTATGGATGAACTCTTGTTCGTCCTCGATCTTTACGTGCTGGATGAGTTTGTTTAAGTTCTCGTCTGTTGTTCCTGTTCACACACACCAAACAAATAATCAAAAAAAAATCAGTGTGAAAAACCTAATAAAGTTCATTCTTAAATTAGGATCTCAGTAAGAAATACAAATGGGTTTTAGGTGATTTTAATGGTAATTAATTGGTGTAACATTATCTCTTAAATATATTTGGAAAGGAGATACAAACTCTGGCCTCAACACATGACTTATAAATATGCTTTGGGATATTTCTGTTTGTTAGTTCTGTGAAATCAAGCAAACACTTTCTGTTCTATTCTGTCACAAAAGTCCCTGACAGACAGAGAAGGAGGTCCAGTGTTGTGCAGGAGAAGACTGATGTACCATTCAGGCTGAAGATGTAGAGCAGCACAGCTCGGATCTTGTCATGGATGTTGTACGGGTGGAGCAGCACAGGGAGCAGCGTCCTCATGGGATCTTTCACCTTAACCCCTTCCAAGTCTGCCCCAACGGCAAGATCCTACAGAGACACAGACAGTCGTTTCAGTCGGAAAATTAAAGGGAATGTTTTAGCTGTTTTTCCCCCCCATACAGACGACGGAGCACAGACACACCTGTTCAGCTTTGCAGAGTTTCTCCACATTGTTCGAGTAATGCTTCATGCAGTCCTCAGCCAGCTGCAGGTGAACTGTTTTCTAGGATATTAAAGGAGAGAGAAGCAAAGGAACAGAACCGAGTATGAGTATTGTTACTAAATAAAACACATGTTATCATAGCAGCCTTAACGTGTGGCCTTGCTGCATTAACATGATGATGTAAACCCCACGTGATGCTAGGCTTTGAAGGCACCACACCCAACCAGAATATAATAATATATTAGGTCCATAATTACACATGGGAAGCACAATATGTGCACAATAAGTCAGCAGCATGTTGGATGCCCCGAAGGAAAGGAAGAAGGAACGTGTGTGCTTATGATCCAATGGAGAGAAAAACATGATGGTCAAAACAGTTAAAAACATTAATGTACATGTTTCTATATTTATTTAATTATATAATATATTTTGTTTTATTTTATGAGTTTTCTCTGTTGTGTCTTGGGATATAAAGGTCAATATCTCATGTGATCCTGATTTCATTCTTGAAAAGTGTAACTAAGTTAAATGTTCTGGTATTATTTTGGTTGATAAAAACAGTAAAAAAGGAAAAGGTACAACAAATGGAACTTAAATGAAAAGATGGAGGTGTACAATGTCTTTGATAAAGACAGTCAAAGTGAAGGTTAAAAAAAAAAAACACAAGGTCAAATAAAACTCACCTACTTATCGTAACAAAGTTAAAAACTAAGAGAGCATAGAAGAGATTAAAAACTCATCTTAGGTGAACTGCAGCAGTACATCAGTACCGTGCAAAGCCTGTTATCAAGAAATGCATTGATAGCTACAGACTACAGGGGAAGTCGTTGAAAGTATGGGGAAGGCTTGCTTCCCTGATTTTTAAAGGAAGTGTGAACGAATCCAAAAATAAGGCCGTGATTAACTTAGAAAGAGTAAAAATAGCTGCCAATGCACCGAGTTAAATTTTCATATCTTACTTTTTGCTTTTAACGTCTAGAGATAGGATGTTTAGCTGTATTTGTCTGGAGAATTTGGCGCAGCTACGGCGCATGCTCTGCTACGACAACACCGCTTGCTTCTTCAGTTTGTCACGTCTGTGGTTATTGACATATTGTCTTTTTTATCCTACTACAATTTTAAATATTCTTCTCCTATGTATTAATTTTAATATCTTATTGCTTTTATGTGTCATATTTACATTTTTACATTTTCATACATATTCATTTAATTCTTATTGGTGTGCATTAGTCTCTCAATGATTTTATAAACTGCTTTTTCGTTAATAAATTTTCTGAACTCTTGTAAAGCACTTTGAATTGCAATTTAATTTGTCTGAAAGGTGCTTTATAAATAAAGTTTGATTTGATTTGATATCGAAGCTCTTAATAAGCTTCCACGCTGACGGGCCTCTTTCATTGTCTATGTGTTTCTTCTTGTGCTATGTCATCATATGTGTATGCCTGTGTACAAACTGTGCAAAGCTGTGAGACAATACAGTATTGTTATATTGTATAAAGTGATTCAAATAGAAGGAGCACCTTAGTGTGTTACAATCACATGTGAAAATAAAAATCTGCTCCGTTTCTCGGAAGTTACTGGATTCCAGTTCCTCAAAAATCCTCACAGCAGTTCTCATTTAGACCACTTAAAGTAGCAGTTCAGTTTAACACAGTTTAATGTTGGTTTAGGTTCGAAACATTGGGAGATAATGTCTTCAGGCAACACAGATGATGTTTTTATGAGTTTGTCGACTTTGCAGTTCAGACAGAAACCCCACTCTGACCTGTCGGGATCAGCTGTGCCCATAAGACATGCTTTCACTGGTGGTTTGGTTCATTCAGGTGCTGCATACCTCTGTCAGTTGTTTACGGAAAGACGGCATCTTCTTCATCATTTGAGCCAGATTGCTTATCGTGATCTGGAGGGGGCAAAAAAATAAACGTTTTGTTACCATGAGTTTCAAATAAAAGAGATTTCAGGGAAGCCACTGCAAAGAGACCTCAGCTCTGTACCTTCCCATCTGGCTTTTTCTTGCTGGCAGATATTTCCTTCACCATCTTGGGGATTTCTCTGTTGTGAGAGGGAAAGAAATGGTTTTAAGGCTGCAGTGAAGAAGACAGGAATAAGTCACCTTTAACCCCTGAGACCTTTCACACTCACGCTGAGACGTCGGCGATGTGCTTGTGCCTCAGCTCGACCCAGAGCATGTCCTCTTCATTCAGCATGGCCTGCTTCTCAGAGCCATCTTTACCCTTGTACCTGGACGCAGAAAGAGGCAGATCATTCATTTCAGCTACAAATGGTGGAGTAAGTATGCAATGCGTGTGTGAATTTAGTGTAGACGGTAAAGATTGAATTACTTGTAGATGTTGTCCTGGATATCAATAAGATCGTAAGCCATGGCCTGGTAGGTCAGCTCATGTAGGATGGGGCTGACGGGGTCAAAGCCTCTCTCCACTATCAACAGCTGGGCCTGGGTCTTTCCCTAATAATGGGAAAAATATCAACTTAAACACTGAATTTTAGGAAGGGGGAAATCATGGTTATTGGTCAACAGGGACATCCTCTGCTGCTTAGCAACCACTGGTAACATTTTGAACTTTTCTATCTAATGTTTTACTTCATGTTGTCCATAAAAAAAAAAAAAGATCCTGTATTTCCAGGTTCCCATTTACCCCTCAGGGTAAGACCGTGTTTATTCTGTCAACATCCTTTGTTCAGCTGCTGTCTGTCTCACCTTCTTCTTGCCACCATCATCAATGTCGTAGTGTCTTTCCAGCTTGTCGTCCACCAGCTCTGCCAGGGTCTTGGCGTTCTCCATGTTGCTGTCCCTAGTTATGACAGAAGTTGAATTCCATGAGTCGCACATGGAGTCAATATAATACACATTGAGATTGCATCATGGACTGTGTAAAAGAAGAGGAGTCATTGTGACGTCATCCATTGCTTTGAGATCGACCCTCATTACATTTATCCTTTCAGACATCGCCGTCTGGCTTTCCTGAAACTTAAAGTGACCACATGAGGATGACAAGCTGACCAAACCACCTCCATTCTGATGCACACGTTCCTGTGGTAGCATCTTTTCAAATGACAAATAGCCACATCTTTTAGCATTACGTTTACAGTCAATTTTTACTGATATATAGCTGTAAATGATAAAAGAACATTGATTAACACCGTTAACGCATTGAGGAAATGTTTACTGAGCTAATTAATCCACTGAGAGGCCATTAGAAAAAATACTGGAGAAGTCTCTTCATGTTGGCTCCGGGTTTTAAATCACAGGCTTTTTCCACTTCTTACATACAAACATCACAGAGGTTAGAAGAAATACCCTTAATGTTTTTTTTACCATTTGTCTTTTTGTTTCATATGATCTAACTTAAGACTTTTCATTTGTTTGTGTTTTTTCTTTGTGTACAGTATAATGAAGTAAAAATACAATACTACTACACTCTGTGAGTAGTGACACGCGCTAAGATTTTTTTTTCTCATAGTCCACTGCACAGCTCCTACATTGCACCTTTTGTACATTTTGTGTTTTTTATTTTACATTTTTAAATTCTATTTTATATAATGTAATAGCTTCTTATCCTGAATTATTGAAGTTGTTGCTAGTTCTGCTTTATTTCCCTGTTAATTGAATCCCGATTCGGTTCTGATTCTGATGTAAGAACAGAACTGATGTACACTGCTCTTGCTGGTGTTTCTAAATTTGAAGCTTAACTCGGGCAAATTACGTTAGTGTTGAGTTGAGTTTTTGTTAACTTATTTCCTGGCAGAGTTCGGTGACAAAGTCTAAGATTTGTGCCCAAGCTCTTCCCATAAAAGCTCTCCCTCTGCTTTGAAGGTTGGGGTGGTGTTGTAAGACGGAGAAACCAAATCTTTGTGGCTTACTTCTTGTATCTGACCCCCGGGTTCTCGTCCAACGTGGCACAGAGCGTGACGAGCTGGTTTGCGAGCGTCTCCAGTATCTTCATTTTGTCCTGACTCTTGGGGCTGTAGAGGCTTTGGAAAGCCCCCGGATTATCACAGGTGAACACCTGAAAGCATTTCAAAGAACAGTGTAAAAGGCATGTGGATCTTTATATAGATTTAACTTCTGGACCCACAACTACCCCTGGATATTGACTAAATAAATCAGAGCTATAATTAAATTTTGTTAATATATATATTTTTTTTATGAGAATCTGGGGCAAATTGAGTTTTTCAAAATAAAATAAAACACAATTTCCAAAGTTTCTCTGCTTTTACAAATCTTGTTCAGCCATTACATCATATCTTAAAGCAGCCAACACCCATACAAACATCAGTCCAAGCCCCTCCTCCTAAAGCAACATGACATTTGAATCACTGAAACAAGTAAAGTTTCCCTCAGTTAACAAGTAAGACGGAGAAAAAGGGGAAATGGAGCATTACAAAAGAACACACTGTGCTAACACTCACTTGTGCCTCGTGTGGCATGAAGGACATGTTGATTTCCTTACAGACACGTATGTACTTTGCACAGTGCCGCTTCATATTGTCGAAGAGGTCATCAGAAAGGTCTGGGATTTAAAAAAACCAAGAAGTTTTATTTAATCTTGTTTGAGATGATGATTGAGAGATGATTAATTAGGTCTTGTAAAATGATCTTAATACTTACAGTCAGTGAAATAAACATAGGCGGCTTTATATTTGGGTTTGGTCTTGAAGTCAGCGATAAAGGCGTCCACACACTGTGAAAGGAAATGTTTTTAAATTATTTCAGCAGAGCTTGGCAGAAAAAACCTGAAACCAAAAGCATTATTGTTGAGCTGACCTGAGCGGTCGGTGACATGAAGTAGATGGCCTTCATGTCTGGAACAGGCTCTCGGGTTTTGAACAGGTCCTCCACAACTAAAGAAGCAAAACATGCAGTTCAACAGAGCAGCTGCAGACATCTATACACAGAGTGAGTTATGTCTATAAACAGGATTAAGCAGTGAGATTACTTGTGATTTTCTCTGCCAGTAGGTCGGACATTTTGCAGCATGATGAGAGAAGCTTGGTGGTGAAGGTGTCCAGAATCAAAATCTGTCAAGAGGGTCAATAAGTCATCCATTAAATATGTAGCACTGTACTGTAAAGAAGGAGCACCACAAATAAATAACTTTTCTGTTTTCAGTCACAGAATAAATCATTTTTTGCTCAGTATTATGGAGGCGGTCTGTTCTTATAATGTCGGGACTCGGTATGAGAACTTGGAGGGTTTTCCTACCTTCCATACTTCAGATTTTCTGCAGTCTGCGATAATAGATTCCTTTATCTCTGTAAGAAAAACAGAGAGTGACTCATTACAAACAACACTGACTGAAAGCAGAGACAAAAACAAAATCAGTGCTTATGTTCAAACAGCTGAAAAAAACAAGTTTTTTCCACTTTTTCTTTTTCTTTTAGTCTATTAAGAAAATTATTCAAGCTCTTCAGTCCTCTCAGAGACCCCAAAATGCTCCATTTACTTTACTATTAATAACATAAAATAATGACAGATTTAGAGGTCAGAAGCAGGAGGCAACAGTCATACAGTTATATAAACATTACGCTCGTCTATTTTCTTTCTATAAATTTATCGATGCAGCTCTAATAAAGCTTCAGCATCCATTTTCCATATCAGCAATCCCTCATCAAGTAAACGTAAAATAATATTTAATGGTAGAACTAGAAAGAAGTACCCGGAATAATTTAATTGCAGTGCTGAAATGAAAACATGTAAAACATTAGGACAGTTTAAACACACTTTCAAGAATAACATATTTAACAAATATAAAATTGAACAGTCAATTGGAAAAAATGGAATCAATATCAGTTGTAAGGTCTGTACCGTCTATCAATTAATGTGTGTAATACATTATATCTGTTGCTTTTGTTACTTCGTTATCAGTATTATTCGACTTTATTTCTGAAAGCTTAGTCTTGGATTTATTTATTAAGCTAAAAAGATAAAAAGGGATAGGACTGGATAAGTTATTTAATTTCATCCTACACCCTTTTCCAACATGGACAAAATCATGGAAAGTCTGCTCTGATTGCTGTTTGCTTTGTATGTAATGTATACTTTTATTTTATTTTTAAAACATGTTCAAAATAAAAAAATAAAATGAAAAAAAATGTTATTGTTCTTGAATTGCTTTTGTTTTTAAGTATCATTGAAATGTCTGCAATATTGTAAGTGGTATTTCATTGTTATTATTTGTTGTTTTTTTTATCTAGAAGATACAAATAATCAGTTCAAGCTATTTTAGAAGTATTTGCATGATATGGTAACAACCATATTAAAAATGTGTGAGTTTGGTTTTACAAAGTAAAAACAATAATAATACCTTTTTAAAAAAAACAGATGTTCTTTGACAGACGAAACAACGGGCATGAAATCAGGACAATAAAGATCAGTCAGGATAAACAAAGAGTAGTGTTACAAAAACGGAAATATAAGAAATAAGAAAGATACGACAGGCAGGTCTCAAATGTCATTCTGATTATTTAATCATTTAATCCCACCCACCCCTCACACAGCCTCTTCAGCCTCCTGCCATCGGGGTGACGGTACCACAGCCTGTGGGCCGGCTCCACCAGACTGAGAAACAGCTTCTTCCACCAAGCTGTCAGGAAGCTTAACTCTCTCTCCCCTCTCTTCCTTCCCTCCCCTCTGCCCCCAAAACACTGGACGTTGAAACCCCCTCCCATTTGCCACCAAGGACCAAGAACTCTGGAATAATAACTCTGAAGCTAACTATTCAAAAGTACACTCAGTTTCTGCACATTGCACATATTGCACAAGTTTACTATTTCTTTAAACTTTTATTTTATTTTATTTACCATTTTGTTTTGTACCTTTTGCACAATTTACCTTTTGCACAATTTAGAATTTACTGTAAATATTATTTATCTTACTTTACCTCTTTATTTACCTTATTTTGGTTGTATTGCACCGCGGGACGGAGACAAACGCAATTTCGATTCCACTGCACGTCTGGCATATTTTGAAATTGACAATAAAGTTGACTTTGACTTAAAATGAAAATGGTGCCTTTCCCTTCATATACACCTTCACAGGAACCCCCTGACTTTGCAAGACCTGCTGTCTTGTTTCCTACATCATATAAGAACTGGTCTTCTGATCTAACAGCTGTTTCAGGGATGCATGATACAGGTGTTTTGCAGAGAACTGCATGCACCTTGCAGCACCCGGATGTGAAGACTCGACACATGTTGACAGCAGCTTCGTGTCAGTGATGTTGATGTTAGATGGACGCCCTTCAGCTCATGTTTTAACCCTAAGTTTTGAGGTGGCGTAAGAAAGTGACGCTCCGCTTCAGCTTCTTCTTTAAACTCAGTCTGATAAAGGAGTAATTAACAAAAGCATCTTTTTTTAACCTCTGGATATGAATATTTTAATTAATCCTCGTTCGTAAACTTCCGTTCAAAGATGAAACAGAATGTAACCAGTCCCCGGATGTAAACTCCCAAAGGATACAAACACTACACACAGCGAGCCTGTACTTAAAACCTCCTTTACGTTAATACAACTTTACAAGAGCGACGCAGTTTTACATGGAAATGAAACATTTTCTAACAGAGGGAACTTACTTTTCCAAACTATTCTTTGCAGCCCGTGATCTGAGCCCGTTGCCATCTTGTTTTTTTTTTTTTTTTTGTTGTATTCCTCTCAACGCCTCTTCCTGTCCCGTGTCCTCGGGCTGTGACGTCAACTGCATCAACAAGTGTGCGACAGAGCGCTTTTGTAGTTTTTAACGCGTTCCTGTCTCGCTAGTTATTGAGCCCTCTAGATATCGTTCTGTCTGCTGTCGTCGTGAAGTTTTTTGTGTAAAGTTTAGTTGATTCAACGAAAGGAAATACTGAATAATAGAAATCAGAATACTTAGTGTAAGGCATGATTATGGAGGGTTGTAGTCAAGATTATGTGAGAGATAGCCTACAATCTTAAAATATTTGAATTGAAGTAAAAAAAAAAATAAAAAAAAAAAAATCACATTTTAAGACAGTTAGGAAAAAGTCAGGATTTTGACTTTTTTCCAATTTTTTTGAGTCGATTTAGCCCTTGTTTCAAAAATATTTAATCAAATGTGAAAGAATAATTCAAACTTTTAAGCTTCTTAAACTTCTGAAATATTAGACAAAGGCATTGCTGACAAAACATGTTTTTAAATTAAACTCATTCTTGGTCAATTGCTGCACAATTTGAGTTCCTCATTAGTTTCAACCTCTTTATTTTGAGCATTTTGTTCTTGTTTTAGCAGAAATAAGAAAATGCATTCATTCATTCGAACACCTCAGTGTCAGAGGATCTGGGTTAGTCTGGCCTTCAGTAAGGGGAGTCACATTTCCCAACAAGACCCTGGTTAATCCCACATTCTATCTTATCTTCACTACATCCTTGCATATCGAGTTTCATGCCTGTAACTACAAAGTTTTTTTCCTTCTGGTAAACCTGCTCCATGACCCAATGTGCATCTGTATCCTCCACTTTACCTGGACTCAGTGGGAGGAGCTAGATGCAGGTATTTCAGCCTGCACGGACACCAGCTGTGTTTAAGAAAAGGTAAAACAAGAGTTGGAGGTTGTAGCATTATTGCAGAGTGAGAGAAAACCAGTAACAGAAGTGTTTAAAGAGATAGACGAGGAGAATGGGAGCTATAAAGTGGCTGGTGGTTTCGTCCTGCTGGGCATATTTTCAAAGGTACAGTAATAGAATAATTCATTTTAACAGATAACTCATTTTAATTTAGGAACATTTTAAGAATTTAATGGAAAATAACCTGACAAGTAGTAGTTTGTAGTAACTTTGATTTATCCAACTGCTCATAATATTTTCTCTTAAAAATTTCCAGGCTGCATCCACATCAGGTACTGTACCTTCTCTTTCATTATTATTGATCTGATACAATAACTCATTATGTCCATCCGTGAGAATGAAAACACAACAAACTTTGATTATATTATAAATCTCTTCCATCAGATGTCAAGGTTACCGTGTTCTCAGCAACATCCAAGACCGTCATTCTCAGATGGACCAGGTTCACCGGAGCCAGCTCGTATAAGATCAGCGTCGCCCCCAAAAGCTCACCTAACAGCGTCATCGCCTTTGCAACATTTGGTCCCAACACAGTGATGGGCTCCATCAACTCTCTGTCCCCGAATGTGTTGTACACCTTCACAGTCGACGCTCTGGACAATTCCCAAAACGCACTGAGCACTGCTTCTTTGGACTCATCATCAGGTAAGTTCTACTTCTGTTCATACCTGTATTTGTACTTACTGTTGCTGCATTGTTTTGTTTTCTGTCAAAAATCAAGCTGTTTAATCTCTCGTTGTATTTGTTTGATTCTGTTTAAAATCAAGTTCTGTGATGGTAGCCTATGTTTTGGCACACTAATTCATTGTCACCACACAAAAAACGTAGGTAGAAAAACATGCGGATTCCATAAAATAACAGTTTAAAGAAATGTTACTGTGACGTTGTACAATCGTAAAATTCACATTATACAACAATGTAAAGGGCCTGAAAAGAGCATAATTCACTTAGATTTGTTGGACAAGATGGAACAATTGTTATTTTCTCTTAATTGGAATAATATTTTTGCTGTTTCCAGCGTGTGGTTTTCTCAGATATTGATGTTATCCTCCTTTCTTCATCCTTGAACTTTGCGGGTACAGTAATAAGGAGAATATTCTTGATGTCACTTCCAAAAATCTTTATATTAAAGTTTATGTTTTCATGACCAGAATGGGACTTAAAGTGAGGGTAATAAGATGGATCCCCACATCTCACTGCCAAAAGAGTCGTATTTTGAGTTCAGTTTAACATTCTCTTGACTGCTTTCTAAACCGATTGTGTTTACTGAAGCTCCTGCGATGATGGATCCCATTCAGACCGTGAAGCCAGAAGACAGCACGACCTTGATGGCCGAGTTCAGCCTGAGGACCGGATCAGTATCATACGTCATACGAGTCCAGAACAACAATGGCTTCCACAGAGAAGACGTAGTGTACTCGTCCCCCGCTGAGATTCATAACCTCACACCGTACACTGAGTACACGCTCAGCATCATGGCAGTGAACAGCGGAGGCCGCAGCCAGCCGCCTCTTACTGTGACTGCAAAGACAGGTACTCTTGTTATTCTAGTTATCATTATTTGTGTTTAGTTTCTACTCCATCATTTGGAAATCACATAAAATAAATTCAAAAATAACTCTGGAGGGCTGATTTTTATTCAGCTGATCTCAAGTTTAAGTTCTTCCTCATCTACCCCCCCCCCCCCGGAGAAGTCATTTAATCTGCCTCATTGTCCCACAGCACAGCCACCATATACATCACCCTGACTGAATGTGTACACATATTACTGTCAGTCAAACCTAGTGTTATGTTAGTTTCTGAAAGTCTTACAGATGCATCAGCAGCCCCCTGAGGGCCCCCACCTGTACAGGAGGGTAACTGTACCTGACCCTGTAATGTCAAACACAATGAGTTGACCTCTTCCTGCAGAATATTCCTGTCCCCTCTCACCTTCACTCCCACAGGGGGGAAATCTGATCCACATGAGACAAAAAGTACATGTGAGAGTCGCAGCATGTTTTTTTTTTTTTACTGTTTGATATTATTCACCTCTGATTTGATTGTATGTCTACAAAATATAATAGAATAGAATAGAATTACTTTATTGATCCCAAACTGGGAAATTGTGGCATTGCAGCAGCAGGTTGTCATAACACACAATATTAGATAGATAGATACTTTATTGATCCCGACGGAAATTCAAAGTAATTAAACACAACATAATATTAAATACAAAGTAAATAAGCACTAAAAATATCAAAACTAAGAATGAAAATATATACATCCAGGATTTAACTTAGCATTACTTTTAGTCTTAAATATGAAAGATTAAATGTAAATGTGCAAAAACAGAGTTGTAAATGGACAGTATTGACATAGGGAGCTGTCCAGAGCTGTGCAATCAGTGACACATAAGTTTAAGTGCAGGAGTGTTGACATGTTATCAGCAGACACTATTCAATATAACGACAAGTAGACAGAGAAATGAAAGCAGACTAAACTAATAGGTTAGATTGAATTGTACTATAAATACTTTTCAGTGACATGTGAAAGACACAATCTTGAATAAGTAAAAGCCAAAGAGCCGCAAAATTAAGTTTCACTTCAGTATTTAAGGTCACACAACCAAAGAGGAACATTCACCCGACCAAAACCAAGAAAAATAGGGATTTCCAGAGTGTCTTCAGCAAAGTGTGGATTTGGCAATAAGAGTTGTTATACCAGTTCTGATATTGAGGAATCTGAGACTGCTGGAAAAAACTTAGTTATTTAGACTCTTCGGACACAACACACAAAAATGAGGACTTATTTCAAAGCTATGAGACTTCACTTACTTGAAACGTGGCTCATGTAGGATTCTTAGCACTTGATAACTTCACATGTAATACTTTTTACAACCTATATTATTAATGAATGACCAGTATACCACAATCAAAGTCATAAGAACATCTAAAATATTTAAAATGATAAATCTGATTCAAAAGCCACATTTTAACTGCAGGAATTACTCCCTATAGGGTCTATATACCTTTGGACGCAGGAGCTAAACAAAGTTACCAGAAGATTATTTAACCCACCGAAAACTACTTTCCAAAAGGATCTTTGTAGTTGGGGCTTGTAGTGCTGATCATTTTTTATTTTTTAATGTCCTCTTAAAATATTGTTTCAAAAGGATCAAAAATTTTAAGAGCATTTGAGGATAAATTGGGCCTAGCCTTCCCCAGTCACTACAGGTGTACCCCAGGGCTCTGTCCTGGGGCCCCTTCTCTTCATCACCTAGCTCCTCCCCCATGGCAATATTTTCCGTAAATTCAATATACTTTTCCACTGCTTCGCGGATGACACCCAGCTCTACCTCTCCAGTAAACCAAACTCCACACTTCCACCCTCCTCCATCACTTCTTCTTATCTGAAATACAATCCTGGTTCTCCTCAAACTTCCTTAAATTAAACAGAGAACACCTTCTCGTCGATACTAAATCCATATTATCCAAAGTTGGCAGTTTCTCCCTCACTATCGACAGCTCCTCAGTTTTCCCTTCCCCTCAGGTTAAGAGTCTGGGTGTCATCCTCGACAACACACTGTCATTCAAATCCCATATCAATAACATTACCCGGTCTGCATACTTCCACCTACGAAACATCAACCGTCTTGGATATTTAGCAAAAGACATTTTTTTAGTCAGCATTCAAACAGCTAGAAAACCTGCTGTGTCACTCACTCATATATTTTTGAAAAAACTCCCTCCCCTCTAACAAACAGGAAATGAGGGTTTACTTAACAAATGGCATCCATGTTTATTATAACCTGTTCCACTTTCATCTTCTCCGCAGTGTTGCCCCCTCCTCAGCTGTCCACTTCCTCTCCCAGCAATGACAGCATCTCAGTGTCCTTGTCCCCGGTCGCTCACGCTGTCCAGTACACCCTGTCCGTGTACAAGTTTGGCTCCAACAGCGCCGTGAAGCACAACACCTCCAGCACCAATTTCACCATCACTGGCCTGGACGCCGGCTCACTCTACATCATCAGAGGTTTCGCCTGGGACCTGGAGGGTCGACAGGGAGAGCGAAGTCTTTACATCAACCAGACAACACGTAAGGCACTGAAACACCTCTACATGTGAAGTGATCTAACTCTTTGAATACTTCTTTTATATTTTCCTTTTGACCTCACATTGCAGAGCTATTGCTGGCTGCTTTCTTTTTAATTCACAGAGCTATTCCTTAATTGTACAAGGTGTGGTGGTTTCTGCAACTTAATCAGTCCCCCTATCAGACATAAGATAAAAGCTTGTAACTTATGTTAATCTCCTGTGCTGAAGTTAAGGTAGAACTGCTTGTGTTACAGGATCAGTGGCCTAAACAGGACAGAGAGAACAGAACAGGCACTTTCTGCAACATTTTAAACCCCTCAGTCATAAACCTGGTGGTCAATATTGGTTTTCAATACATACATACACAAAACTTATGAAAAATGTCCCACATTTTTTTTGGTTGAGGTGTGAACTCAAACAGGCTCATTTTTTTCACCCTGACTTCACTTGGACTTTTTCCTTCCAGCCCACAAGTACAATTTCAGAAGAGCATGTGTGAAAACAGCTTAATAGAAAGAGACCTAAAACATGACAGTAATCATGATAAGGCTCCTATAGAAAGGTAAAATCATATGTTTTCAAAAGTATTTTAATTATTTATAATGTATATAGAATGTTACTATTCTAATCTAATTCAAATCAGTCTTGTAACAGGCAAAGAGCTGGAGCTGAGGCCGGTCTTACGCCTCCTGACGAGCAGCTATAACACTGCTGCACATCAGTCAGATCAGCCTCGCCCCTTATTATAAATAACTATTATCCTTCATTAAATCAAAATTGATGTGTTATAATAAGATCCATCCCCCATAAAGTGTGTGACGACAAAGCAAAAAGCTTTTCGAACAAATTTGTTCTATTGAACCAGGCTGTAAACATGGCTGTTTCTGCTTTTTTTGAATGAATGTGACTTCCACATCTTTTGCAGCCATCCCCTAGTGGAGACTTCAGGTACTGCAGTGTTTTGCATCTGGCATTAGTTTCATTTTTCAACACTACAGACTAAAGCTTGGTAGCACCATGTAGGATGCATCAGTTTTCAGATTTTATTGCTAAATCTGGTTCCAGATTTGCAGTAAAAAAAACATATATGTAGGATTGTATCTGCTTACCATCTTTCACCATTTTGAAGGATGTGTCCACGCGTTCATGTGTACCTGTGTTTAATTTATCATAAGTTTTGTCTATTTTCAAACAGGTCCTCCAGCCCCTGCTTCTGTAAACGTCTCCATGGAGATGAGTAACGACGTGGCTGGACTCTCTGTGTCCTGGGAACTGGATCAGGATGTCTACGGGTCTATCGAGTACCAAGCTACGAGTGACGGGAACCTGGAGTGTAACAGCACATCCAGCTCCTGCATCCTGTCAGCTGTGAGCTGCGGAGAGGTACACAGCATTCAGGTGACCGCTTCCAACGAGGCTGGGCCTGGGTATCCAACAAACCCCATCCTGTTTATCACCTGTGAGTAGAGAGGGATTTGATTTAGGGTTAGATTGCTCTCTTAACACACTGTCAGTATTTGACTCAAATCCTTGTGGTCCTGCACCGTCAGACCCGTGCCCTCCAGAGTCTCTGGCTCTCTGGGAGTCACCAGAAGGAAACTGCACGCTGACGTGGGACACTGTGGCTCACGCTGACGGCTATCAGGCCTTCATCAAGAGAGGGGACGGCGGCGAGGAGATCTGCAACACCACCAACAGCAACAACTGCAGTTACGACTGTCAGTGTGGCTACACGTACCTGATGTCTGTGTTTGCCTTCAACCAGGCGGGCAGCAATCCTCAGGGAGAGATTCTCAACCACACCACCTGTAAGGACCTCCTGAGGGGCGTGAGATTATTTACGGGATTGATTTTTATAGATATTACTCATATTTGTTTTGTGTTTTTTTTGAAGTGCCTTGTTGTCCAGAGGGAGTATCTGTCTCTGCGGTGAACACTGACACTCTGGAGATCACGTGGGCGGCCTCGCGGGGGGCGGAGCTGTACGAGACGCGGGCTGTGGACAGTTCAGAGGACATCCGGTGTAACGACACGGCGCCTGTGTGTGCTCTCTCTGACCTCAGCTGCGACACCTCCTACAGCGTGGTGGTGACACCCTGCAGTGACATCAGCGGGTGCAATCGTGCATGCAAAGCTCACACCAAGGACACAGGTAAAAAAATCCTAAATAAATGTATCCAGCTGCATTTTAACCTCAGTTCTGTTCGGCCTGATTATAAATAAAGTGTTTATATGAATGATATATCCGATTGCTTGTTTTTTTCTGCTAGGATATTTAGTGAAATAAAATCTTTTGACTGAACAAATCGTGAAATAATTTGATCCCTGTGATTGAATTGGATTGCTGAAGGCGCAGTGGATAGTTCCCATGTCCCATGTATTGGAGGCTGTGGTCCTCCAAAGGGGCGGCCCAGGTTCAAATCCAACCTGTGGCTCCTTCCCCGCATGTCATTCCCCACTCTCTCTCTCTCTCTCTCTCTCTCCCTGATTTCCAACTCAATCCACTGTCCTATCTCTCCATTAAAGGCACAAAAAGCCCAAAATAAATCTAAAAAAATGAAGAAGAAATGAATAAATTGGATTACTCCAATTTTTAAAATTTTAAGTGTAAAGAATAAGACAGAGGAAAGTGCATCAAAGGTATGAACACACTCAGTAACCTCAGACAATTTTACATTCTTCTTTCCTTCGTCCAATGAGCTCCCTGCATGCCGACGAATCTGATGCTGAATCCCCAAAACTCCTCCAGCGTCACCGTCAGCTGGACGTCCAACAACCGCGCGGCTACTTACACTGTGAGCGCCGTCGGAGCTGACGACAGACACTCCTGCAGCTCCGTCGGAAACAGCTGTGACATCACCGGCCTGCCCTGTGGCTCCGCCTACGAAGTGAGCGTCATAGCAACGAGCTCCACGGGCCAGAGTTTACCCAGCTACTCTGACTCTCTGGAGACAGGTGAGTGGTTTGATGGAGCGCTTTTTACTCAGGCAAAAGAAGCAACACAGAAAAATAAATAAAATCTAAGACTTTAAAAACAAGATTAAATGAAGATATTGAAACAGTTAGGATGAATATCCAGCAACGTCCATTGCTGTATAAACCACGCCCACATCACCTTAATCTCCATACAGAAATAATTAGTTTTTTATCTATACACACAGATAAAGGAAGTTTTTTTTCACACCTGCATCTTTTTTACAGAGCCGTGCTGCCCGCAGACTCTCACCGTGGATCAGGGGACTCAGGCCATGACCAACGTCTCCTGGTCTCACGCCAAAGGGGCGCACTCTTTCATCACGTCTCTGACATCGCCACGCGGTCACGCCCGCTGCCACACCCAGGACTCCCACTGCCTCATGGGGTGCATCACCTGTGGGACAAACTACACCGTCACCATGGAGGCGTACAGTCACAGCGGGCGCATGTCCAACTGCACCTATCAGGGCTTCTCATCCAGTAAGTATTATCACGTTACACTACGGCCAGAAAGGAATGAGGGGAGGAGTTAACTTTCATTTATTACCGAAAGCAACTAGAATTAAAAATGAATCATTTTGTTCATATTTTTATGAACAGTACAGGAGTTCATCTGTAAAAATCCTTAAAATCTATATTAGAGTTTAAGAGAGAGTTTTTACACATCCACAAACAAGATTTATTGACTATTCACACATTTTTACTATAAATAACACAACACCTATTTATTATTTGACTTATATTCTACCTCGTATTCATGCTTTTCTCCATTATGATTCTTGTAATGTGCAGAAATAATTAACATATAAGTGACTTACGAGCTTCAGATGTAAAATACACATTTCTGTATTCAACTTTAAATTTTAACAACCATAAAGATAAAAATGAACCAAGACAATGATATACAGTATAAGCAGGTATGAGCTAGCAGCCTGCTTTAACTAGCAACCTCTGTCATCAGTGTGTGAAGGGGTAAGTGATACAAGCTCAAGCCCATTTCCCATTTACATATGTTGAAGGTATAAAAGATAAGAGTGCTTATTTCACTTTGTGTCCACCAGAGGGTGCTGTAATTTATTTCAAACTAAATTCACAGGATATCTTTCCTTGTAGGTTTTGTTTGTGTTAATAATTTGTGTTTTCAGCACCTAGGTTGAGTTTGTTTGTATGTTCCTGGGTTGGATGTGTAATTCTCTGTTGGGTGTTGTCCATCTTGCCTGTCTCATTGTTGAGATTGTGAGTTGTTTTGTTGATGATGTCGTGTGTTTATTGTGTTTTTATTGTTTATACTGAGAAGTGAAAATAGAGGATTTACAGTAAAAACACAGAATGAGTCTAATTTATTTCCCAACTATCTCTAAAATCACCATCTATTATTACATATGAAACCTACAACATTATGAAGTCCATCATTTACACTCTCTCTCTCTCTCTCTCTCTCTCTCTCTCTCTCTCTCTCTCTCTCTCTCTCTCTCTCTCATAGGTGCGTGCTGTCCGTCAGGTGTCCGGCTCTACAGGAAGGCCGCTAACTCCCTGCGCGTGCACTGGCGCAGCGCTGGAAGCAGCCACAGCTACGTCACAGATATGACGGGCACGAGCAACAACTACACCTGCACGACGTCTCCTGGGGAGAACAGCTGTGACATCAGCAACATCCAGTGTGGAGACGTTTATAATGTAGTGGTGGCTCCGCTCACAGCAGAGGGCAGCAAAGTCCTGTTCTGCCCCCTGAGACTCTACTCAGGTATAATGAACCTGAGCCTTCACATTCATTTCAAAGGGGGAAATGTATTTGCTTCTGCACCTTTTACTCTCCTTTTGAAGAGAAGTTTTACAAGTTTAAAAAAAGAATTGTCAATATAATTTTCAGCTTTATTCATAATTAGAATCAGAATCAGAATCTGATTTATTGTCCAGGTATGCTTACACACACACCAGGAATTTAACTTTGGTGAACTGTGCTCTCTTATGAACAGGTACAACATTAAATATCAACAATAAACATAATAAAAAAAGACTAATATTTACATGACTAAATATGAAACAGTGCAGTGCTGAATAGTGCAAAAGATGCTGAAGTAACCTGATAAGTAAAATGCAGTTATGTGACAGATGGGTCAATTAAGATGTCAATTACAGTATTAACATAAAGAAGTGTGCGTGTATTGATCATTTAAATTAAATAATATATATATATACATATATGTATATTCACAGTGATGAATTAGATAGGATTAAACCGTTAAAACATGGTAAACTTTTAAGTTGTGAAACGTTAATATTGTGGAAAACAACATTTTGACTGACTTGAACTTTCTGTTTCCTTCTCTTTCAGTCACCTGCGCAGGGAACAACATTAGCACAGGTGAGTGTGATACCCTGAGCGTCAAATGTGTTTAAATATGAATGTCTGTTTGAAGTTAAACCAGCAAACAGTTTCTACGACTTTCTGTTAAAATAGAAGTGAAACATCTCAAATGTATTAATTTTTTAACGACAGTGTAACTTTTTCTTTTGCAGTGATTTACAGAGGGAGGAGAAGTGTGGACTGATGGTATGTAAGTCAATATTTTACATCTGATCTGATTTGGAAGATAAGTTTAGAGGTAAATACACCTGAATATCGTGTGCCAATTAAGAGGTCTGAAAGAGGATATTTTAATAATACCAACATTTAAAGAACAACATAGACAAGACATCATTTGTATTTTAAACTCACATTAATGAAAAAGGGAATACCAAATTTCAAAATAAAGTCATTTCTCATCAATACAGGTTCCATCTTAATTTAACGTGTAGGTCAGCTGTTGTTTTTATTCAAGATAAACCATTTCTTCTAACTAATTTAAAAGAACAGCGTATGTATTTTTGTTTACAACATCATCCCATATCAGTGTATCGATGTTTCCCTCCGCTGGCCATTAAAAAAAATAACTTGCATTAATTACTAACATTAATTAAAATGTGCTTTATCATGTGCAGCGTTATTTAGGTAAACAACGACTTTTGGAACCGAAGAAAACTGTGACTGATTTGTTTTTGGTCTTTACAGCTTCTTCTCCAGTGAGCCCTCAAACTCCGCCCCCTTGTTGACCTCCTCCTGCTCCTACATCGTCACAAAGCCATCGGATACGACTGAACCGAAGCTGAATAAAAGAAGAACTGTTCAAAAGATATGCCATTTGAAAATGACACTTGACGCTGATTGTATGATGAACAATGAGAAATACTTTGTGTTTAAAAAAAAAAGGTCATGAATTATGGCCAAGCTCCAACATCACTATGCCCTCAGCTATTACGATAAAGCACTTAAATAAGAACAAGAATGTATTTATGTGTTGCTTAAAATGTGTATCCTGAGACAAAAATCTTCTTATGAATTTGATAAATATAAAAAATGTTATGCTAAAATTACATCACTTAAATTAAGGATAATATATTCACCATTAACTACTTCATATTAGCATGCTAATTAGTAGGATACTGGCTGCTTATCAGTCATTATTAAGCGCTACCTTATTATCAACCATAATTTATAGCTAATTAAGGCCATGAAGTGTTTGCCCTCTATAACCTCCTAATTACGGCTTATAGTTTGGAGGTTGCTGAACATGAATTATAATTAATAAACGTTAATTAGGAGGGTACTGAGGGTAAAATCTTAGTTAACAGCCTATTATCTGTAGATTATAGTCACATAGAGTAAGGTACTTATAAGGGCTTAATTATGACTAATAAGCAGTTATTATGTTACTAATTAGCATGCTGATATGCACTACTTAATGGTGAATATTGTGACCTCAATTCAAAGTGTTACCGATAAAATATTTGATCCACAAACAACAAGGCAACATTCATTTCCTCTATAAGCAATCTGTGAAAGAAAATTAAGTACATGATTGATTTTGTCCGAGGGCTGACAGAGCTAAACATTGACAAAAAAAAACTCAAAGTAAAGCAGTAACATTGCCCTCCAGATACATTTTTAAAGATGTAAAGAACATATTGACCTGGCTCTTAGGAGTTATTATTTGATGAATTGACCAAATTAAAACTAATCTTGTAGTTTTTGCCCCAACTAGGAATCCTCCTGATGCTAAGTATCAGCTGTGTTTCTCCTCAGGTGTCACCCTGTAGTGTACAGCTGATACTTTCTTAAGGATGTTTTCAACTGGAATATGTCTCCCTGTGGTTTAATAAACATGATGCATATTTCAATTAATAAAAAATTCCCAACATCAGTTTTGTGTTTTGTTGTTTGTTTGTTTTTTTCAGAATATGAATGGAGGTCAGGAGTTTACCTGAGCCCTCAGGTATGATTGTAAAAAGTGCTGAGTCATCCAGCGTCTGCTTCTTTTTTCTCATTAAATTCTCAACTGGGTTTTTTCTTTAAAACATAAAAAAACTTTATTTTATTGTATTATTGTGTCATACATAAACAATATGTCCGATCCCAAAACAGGCTTTCTAGACACCATTATTACTGTAATACAAAGAGACCAAAGATAGATATTTAATTATGATAATACTGAACAAACAAACCATCCTGATGTTTAGGCTTTAGAGACAAATGTGGCCGGCTTATAAACATTGAAATTAAAACAATCATTGGATTCTGAGCGTACGATTAATCAAAGGAGTTCTGAACTCATCATAAAAAGGACAATACAATAAAAAAAGAGATTCATTCTCCACTTCTCCTAAATCACATCGTTCACACAGTACAGTCTATATAAGGAAGTTTCTCTGCTGTGAACAAAAGAGGTCTGGCTGATGGACCTCTTGTGTCCAGCCGGTGTGCTTTTAGTCTTTTATGACTCGTACAACTTTCTGTAAAGGAGGTCCTGGTTTCATTTCTGTGAAAAATGAGGTTTGCCTACGATTAACATGTCTGACTAACGCTTACAGCTTTATACATCAGTAACAGGTACTGATGTCCACCACACACTATAAGTCATGAAACATAGGGTTATAAATACATAGAATTGGATTCGATCATCAATCATTACATGTTGTGACTTTAAGGATATTCTGTGGTCTAGATTTGATTGTTTTTTTCAACCTTATGAATTCAGAGAAAAGTTTTGGAAACTAAATCTTATGAAATAAAACTTTATCCAACCTGAGGACAATGGTTGTAGAGAGTTGAAGAGTAAAGTATAGAAAGAGAGCAGGATGACGTAATCGATACCAAGGTGCCTCAACAGGTTAACAGTAGGAGAAGGATTATTCGTGTCTGTAGATATGTACCAGAATTTAAATATACTGTGGAGCTGCACATTTAATGTTACAGGAATAGTTACTAAATACGACCAATGTGGCTGAAGAAAAACTACCAGTAGGGCTGGGAAATATATTGAGTTTTTAAGATATATCGATATATTTTCAAATAAGATCTAGGGTAAGACAACATGGTTAATATGGATATAGTTTATGTTGCATTAAAATAACATTACAGAGGTACCAGGTCACCTTTTTCTCATCTCACTGATGATGACTGACTGTCTGTCCCTCTTCACCCTGCTCCTCCTCTCTCTCTCTTTTATTGTATTTAAGGAAACATTTTTATTTTATAATATTACTTTTTAAATTCACAAACAGGTAGTTTATTTTTACATGTGTTTTCACTGTTAATAAAATACATATTGATATATATCGAGTATCACCATTCAGATAATCAATATCAAGATATGAGTTTTGGTCCATATCGCCCAGCCCTAACTACCAGTACTGTTAACTTGTTTTGTAGCCTCTATAGCTTCACCTTCTTTGTGTAATACAGGTGTGGCTCAGGGAATAGAGCAGGTTGTCCTTACTAAAATCGTCATGGTGATCGTCAAGCACCCTGCACAACAACATGTCGTCATCAATATGTGTCTCTGTGTGTTTAGACCTTATAAGCTGGGTTACACATTTGTCCCTTTTCTTTCTTTTTTTGGTCAGCAAAAATTAAGGAATTTCTTTTTGGGCTTTTTATGACTCTTTTATGATACGACATATGAATCGAGTCGAAAACCAGGGAGGGAGAGAGAAGGGGCCGGGGGATTAGTGGTGGCAACAAGCCCATATTGAGCATTCAGTCACATTCATTTCTGAAGAGTTAATTTGGAAATGTATGTGTATGATTAAATGTACATTTTTAAAATGTATAAATATGAAAAATAAATCATATTAAAGGCTTTATATACGGTAGATGTCGCCCTTGAGCACCAGCATGAAACCAAAACAACTTGCGCTGCATTGTTGTGTTAGCATGCTAATGCTAGCGATCTTTATTATGCTCGTATCTTCACACTGCATGTAAATTTACCTGAAATGAGCGTGATCTAGAAACACAGTTAAGCAGTGAGTACAGTATGTTATTCTTCTTTTCTCTAGTCCCTCAATTAAACAACTTTTATACACGAGGGGAGGAGTCAGCCGGCCGTCCGGGCGATGTAAACAAAGTGAAGATAGGACTCTGAAAACTCTGAAAACATCACAGATAGTGGGACTCGGGTGTTACACCCATTGTAGACAGTCATGACTCACAGAGTTATTTTCAGAGACAATTATTAAATTTATTAAAAACATTGGAGCATTTCCATGGATCGCAAAGGTACAAACAGCCGTTGTGTGTCCCTCATGTTGATCTTCAGGAGATTATGAGGACCTCACGAGCATTAGATGAAGAGCCTAATTGTGTTTAACAATGGAAAAATATTTTGATCCCCCAAGGTATCGTTTTGTGTATCACATTTCCACGTGGGAAGACAAAGGAACAACCTCATGGATTTCTGATTTGCTGTTCAAACCGCTTCTTAAACCACACCCATCTACAGGACTCACAGGGCACCCATCCCAGACACATGTGCTGCTCTGCCCATCCTTTTCACATCTCACTTTTCAATTGGCTCAAGTCCCTCAAAACACAAAGGAATAGTTCTGGTTTTCCTGTAAACAGTACAGCTATCAGTTAAGACACTGTTGGGAATAGTTGCTATTCACAGGGAAACATGGACTATGACTCAGCCAAAGACGAGGTATTATTGACACAAAGAAATGGGATAGCTTCCCACCCGGTGTAGGAGTGTCTTAAAGCAACTTATGTAACATCACAATGTCGTAAAAATAAGTGAGGTTGTTTGATTTTTAACATTAATTCACCTCATTGGGACCTTGCATTCCCAACACTGTAAAAAACAAAAACTTTAACTTAAAAAAGTTAATGTCCGGGCTGCCTTAAAATTTTAAGTTAACTGAACTTTAAAAGATAAGTTGACATAAATTTGTGATTATTCCAAAGAAATAAAATGTTCTAGTCAAATAAACTTGACATCAAGTCAGTTCTACTTAAATCTTTAAGTTAACAAAACTTTTGATCATGAAATTATCTAGTTAAGGCAAAATGGTCTTTCAATTTATTTTGAAAAAATAATAATAATAAAAAAATACTTTATCAAAAGTTGAATCCACCTAAAATATTGAGTAAAAATGAATTCATCAATTTAAATTAAATATGTATTTCTATTTTAGTCCACTTAAATCAGTTTATACATTTTTATTATCTATC